GGGGGGGGGTATTTTAGCCCCTCTGTAATAGTAATTATTAGTAAGGCCTTCTAATAGTAAAATATTTTATCACGTGAATCCTATGAAAATGTAGCCTATATATTATCTAGCTTGGGTCCAAAGTCAGGGGCAAAGACTATAGATCGCTATGCTAGAGATAGATCTAGATCTAGATCTAGATCTAGATCTTGATCTAGAATCTAAAGATAGTCTAGAAATCTAGATCTAGATCTATTATAAATCGGACATCAAACATTAGGCCTAGATCTAGGCTATAAATTAGACCTTGATCACCTTTTGATTTTGAACCAAAACACCCATATCAAGAGACCTTACCTTATAGCCACCCGCACGCTCGACTCGTCCTCCTTCTTCTCCTCTGTATCAGACATGCTCATTCCGTTGTGTTGACAATCAAATTATGGGTACTCCTCACCAGAACGCAAGCTTCCACCATTTGCATTGCTCTCACGCTAATAATAATATGACGAAGAACTAATCCGATGAACAATCGGCCTGGACTACAGACCGTTGCTTGTCGGCTTCACTCAGCTATTTCAAAATTTGAATCACACATACATTGACACACGCACACACACACGATAATCAATATTATGCACGACTGGCTTCACTTGTACCACAACACAAGGCGACACCTGTTTCACTAAACAACCGCGACGAAGCTTCCTTCAAAGCAAAAGACACTCGGTTGCACGTCTGCTACTCATTATAGCTAAACATTTGAACAAAATCTCAGAAAAACAATGGTTGCGGTACAACTGATCCGAGAATTATTCCACAGGTGCGATCTGCAGAACACAGCACACAGACGACAGACACACACACACGTTTGGTCGTCCGAATGAGGCACTGCCTTCACACTCCACACACTGCTTTGATCTGCCGCCCTCACGGCGACCGCCTGCGTGAAGGGGGGAAAAAATGTCAAACGCGACACGGGCCAATGTTTACTGACGATCTGCACCCTCGGCAACTTCCGCCGTTCTCCGGAAATAAATGAGGTCAGTGCTAGGGGGAGAAATGCTGATAATTTTGTGTTTTTCCTGTTCACCTTTGTTGCATCCCTTCAATGAAAGGCTTTTTTTTCTGCAAACAGTCAGCGGTCCAAGTTTAGTTAAGTTTTAATATAATAGTTTTACGGCATTTGCAACATAATAGGGCATATAATTGTAGAAGATTAAAAGTATTACAAGCGAGTAAAAAGCGGAAGAGGTTCTAATTTTAACCTCTTAGGTAACATGTAACATACACAAAAAAGAAACCATGGAGGTAAAGATGATAGATCAAGATATTAATTTGATATGAAAGAAGGAGAAAAGCACACCAGAGCATCGCGCCAACCACCCACGGTCCAAGTTTTAGTTGGCAGCCTTAGGGTTGGTTTATTGTAAATATTTTGCGGGCCCAACTAAAAAAGAAAAGAAAGAAAATTAAACGTGATCATTCAGAGACAAGCCAGGTCGAGTGGGATGCAAGATCCCAGCAGGAAGCCAGAGAAAGGCGAACCAGTCTCGGCGAACTGATTCAAACTCATGTCGTTTTGGTGCAGGGCGGAGTCCTTTCAGCGTTGACTTCACACTCCAAAAAACCAGAAGCTGGTAACCTGAACCTGCAGAGTGCCGATCTCAAGGGAGTTACTGTTTTCAGGGGAGTGTGATTTAATCAGTGCCCCCCCCCCAAAAAAAAAAAAAAAAAAAAAAAAAAAATTTAAAAAAAATTTAAAAATAAATAAATAAATAAAAAAAATCAACTGAACGAAAATGTTTACTTAGGGATACTTGTGGACTTAATATATATATATATGGCTTTTACTGCCGCCAAGAGAATGGTCGGTCTTAACGACATACTAGATCAACGTTAGATAGTTTTTTTTCGAACACCGAGTCTTTGCCACGCACGCTCGAGGTTGTTTTAGTTTCTTTAAAATCTTTTGTGTTTTGGGGGTTGGAGAGGAAAGTTCCACGAGGGGATATTGACAGAAGAAGAATAATGAGTTCAAAGGACAAAGTAATAAAGAGTGAAGTCCCTCGTGTAACGTAATCGGGGAAAGCACATGGAAATGAAACATTATACCCTAAATGAAAGCAGGCTCCATACATACATA